GGGACGACAGGAATAAAGCTTCATTAAAACTAAATAAAAATGAACTTTTAGTTTACTTAAATCTTTGTTTGCCATGTTTAGAGGCTATTAATTTATTTAAGAGCGACAGCAATTTGTTACTGGCTGCTAGGTGTAACAAAAAATATGTTTTTAAAAACAAAAAATAAAATACTTTATTCTTACGCTGAGTACTTTTTTTTTAACCTTTTAGTTGAAAAATACCTTATGTAAAGCCTGAAAAGGTGGCAACCCTAGTTCCGATCGTTTGTAATGAAATGTTCTTTGAATCGTTCTGATCAGGTACTTTTAATGTAGAGAAGTACCAAAACTCTTCAGTTTCTAACTTACAGCACTCAAATTTATCTAGCCTAATTAACACTCTGGTAAATGTCTTCGTATGCTAGATTGATATGTATCGATACTAGCGAAAAGGTGGGAATCACAGTTTGAATCAACATCTGAGGAACCTAGACAATCCTTTCTACCTCTAAAATAGAATAAAAGAAAAAGTTGAGTTTGAATTTCCTGGATATCAATAAGGTAATCGTAAGAGGCAGATGTTTAAGTAGCTTAAGAAACAAAGCTTGCTTGTTAAGAGCAAATTCGATGGTTGAAGGGTGTTAACTACATCCGTAATGTCCTCTTTTACACTACTATCAATATAAACCAACCTAGTATACGAAAACATGCATTAGAATGGTAATTAGTATAGGTAATTAAAAAATTAAAAGGAATGCTCACCCCTAATTACCACAAATAATTTTATATGAGCGGACACGTGTTTCGCCCACTTCACACGTGGGCATTATCAACGCGATACTGGTTCTAAAATTTACAACTATTTATAGTGGCTAGGGTTAAAGACCGAAAGAAGAAATAATGGAAAACAATTTACATAGGTTTAGGAGGAAAACTTGAATATGTTCAATGCCATTTGTAAAATGTTTTAGAAGCCAATCTTTTGGCCACGAAAAAACAGATCTACAAATGTATGCTTCGATAAACAAGTGAGGAATTAGATTTGGAGGGAATGTGTGTGTCAATAACCGTTAGTACAATTCGTAAGGCCTTTATGACCCAATTTTATGTACAAAACGTATGCTTCATTACAACCTACCTAATCTGGGAAAAGGGATGAGAAAAACAGTGAACGAGCGTGTTCAGTACCCGCAGTTCAAAGGCCTATTGGGCCTGCTTTTTACTGCGTATGCTTCAACAAACGAAAACTATAGGGGAGAGCGAAAATAGCTTATCTTATTATAATCAATTAAACCTATTGCAATAGTTGAAACAGGACTAAATGAGGAAATGGGCCATCATCTGAGTTCATAAGAATATTTTTATTCTTTTGAATGTATAAACTTTCCCAAGCGTCAAGTTCTTGATTTGCAAGAGACTTCTTTGATTAATTTTAAACATTTAGGGCCTATAGGGTGGTTTGTATTGAAAATATGTTGGGCAACACTAGATTTATCTATCCTATTTAATCTAAAGTGAGCCAGTCTCGCGTTGATAATGCCCACGTGTGAAGTGGGCGAAACACGTGTCCGCTCATATAAAATTATTTGTGGTAATTAGGGGTGAGTATTCCTTTTAATTTTTTAATGAATATTTACGACAGTCTCCTCCTATATTTTTTTAGTATAGGTAAGTTTGTAAACTCATGATTTTTGAATGTTGTGGTTACTAAGACGATTCAATAAACGTTTTTTCAATGTTTCATTGTAATTTACAGAAACCTATCTATCTTATCATAAAGTGCAGAGTACGTTTGATAGGATGCTTTCTATGTGGCTGCATGCTCTTAAACATTTCGAACATAAAATGTAATTTTCAATTAATTGTCTTGGAAAGTCCATTACTTTTAGAACTGTGGAATGGTGTGATTGAAATTACCTACACCTGTTCCAGCATGTGTAAAATAATCCACTGAAACTAATTCAAATAAGCTAATCAAGTATGAATGAAATTAAATAAAAAACTGATGGGGTTGATTCAAAAAATTGATGACAAGTAACAAGTATGTTCTCTTTTCAATCGGCAGGAGCTTTCATCAATTTCTTTCAAAATTCTCCTTTTTATATTTTACTTTTGAAAGATGTCATATATGTAACATGCCGATAAGACTATAATAACAAAATGGAAAGTAAAGGGTTGCAGTTTCGGTAATAAATAATTCTTCTTCACTTTGTAATTATTCTATACCTAATGATAGGGTTGTTATTTCACTTAAAAATTCTTTTTATCAATATGATACAATCAGGCAAGACATTTGTGTGAAAAAAGTGGTTTGGTATATTGTATATTAAATTATTTAGATGCTAATTTTTGTGTTGCCAATATAATAATATCATTGAGGTGCTATGAGAAAAATCGTATGAAAACCTCATTTAGTGATCGGTAGCGACGGTCGTTGTATTTCAAAATGAGTAAATCCGTGGATTATTACTTCGGGCATACTTTTATGTTTTTGAAATGTGGAGGAATGTGGAAGCCCGAAAGAAGAGGGTCATTTAAGTACCTCGTGTGGTGGCTTTACAACATCTACATGTTCTGCTTTACTACTTGCATTGTCTTTTTCCAAATTGGCTCCTTATTTGAAACATACAAGACCAAAAAAAATTTCATTAAAAATTTAAATATGACGTTGCAACTTTTAGTAGGATTACTCAAAATGGTATTCTGGCATCGTAATATCAAGGAAACACTTCAAACAATACATAAGTTGTCCGAAAAATCGTCAATTTATAAAACTGCTGACCTTTTCGAACCTGAAGATATCTTAAAGGAAGAATCAAAACTGAAGAGAATAAACGATTTCACCTTCTTGACCTTGGGGTTCAGTGTTTCCGTTTCTTCGGCAATAAACTGTTTAGTAAACGTATATATAAATAAGCATTATGACATTTACGTTGATTCCCAAAACGTAAGTCATGTAAAATATACGGAACCACTTCCGTATTATACTCTAACTCTTTGGGATTATACATCATCTCCATTTTCGTATACTAGTACAGTCTTAATTCAAATGCTTGGTATTTGTTCATTTAATTTTATTATCGTTGGTAAGAAAATTGTCACTTACCAAACGGATATCGTTTATTTAGGGTCTTGATACATAGGTTTCGACACCAATTTTAATTCAATGGCTCTTTATTCTGTGGCCCATCTAAAGATTCTAATGGAAGCAATAAGAACGATTCGTGAACGATCCTATAAACAATTGAACATCGATTACATCCCAGAATGCCCGGATTGGAATCCAAGGATTCAAAAGGTCATGGACGAGGAAATGAACCTATGCATTTTGCATTTGCAAGCTATTTGCAGGTAATTTATTTTTTTAATAAATAAACTCAAATTAATTTGCACAAATATATTAATAAAAACTTTGCAATTTTTGACGTGACAACGTCTTATAATTCGATGGAGCCGGCTGCACGCACGAAAAAACATGACTCATGCGGCGTTACCTCGCTCTGAGGCGTTCCATTTAAGTGCAAGCGAGAGCGAGAAACGAGCGACAAAGAGGCACAATCGGTCTCCGCGTTCGGCACCGTTCGACATCTGTCTCTCTCCTACTTGAGTGAGCGATGTGTCCGCGTGGACAGCTGCTATACAATAATACATTTCTATTTACCTCCTCTATATCCATACAAAATATCTATCAAACAAACAAAATTAAAATATTTTCTTTTGAAAAAATGAAACCATTCCATCAGTATTTTCTTATGACGTTGTCACGTTCAACTGTCGTCAGTAAACTGACTTTACAGACAACCGATTTTTTTCGCCTCCATGAGGCTTCTTCAGAAGTATTACTTCTTAATTTGGGTTTATTTATTAAGTGATCATAAATTTCCATCAAGAAAACGTAGATACCATCAATCAAATTTATTTTTTACTCTTAGTTATGCTTGATGAACGTATCACGCTAATTATTGTTTTTCAGAATGTGTAATCGAATTGAGGAAATCTACCAGATTATTATGTTGGTGCAAGCCATGAATGCTTTGGCCCTTTTTTGTACCAGCCTGTTCTTGCTCTCCTCAGTACGTACCTATTTGATTTGCTCCTAAACAACTGTAACAGTTATTCACATATTTGCTAGGGTTTGCTAAGAGATATTATAAAGGTGGCCATGACCCCTCCCTCTACCAAGCAAAATCTACACTGCGCATACAGCGTGGTCATATATATAGGGTTGTTCGGAAAGTCGTTTCGTTTTTTCCCGACAGAGGATTTAATTGTATTCTTTTGCACCCATCTTCACATTTAGGCCGTATAATTTTTATATGCTTTGCGAGCTCATCTAGCAAGGCTTGTGTGTGAAAAATTCCAATTAATTCTACGCAGTAGTTTTTGGTTGGTGCCCTTTTAAATACGGAGAGCGATAAGCAGCATTTTCGACATATCTTACTGTTTTACTACAGAAAGGGTAAAAATGCTGTTCAAGCCAGAAAGAAATTTACTGATGTGTATGGAGAAGGTGTGTTGACAGTACGCCAGTGCCAGAACTGGTTCGCTAAATTTCGTTCCGGCAATTTTGATGTCGAAGATGCACCACGTTCGGGAAGGCAGGTTGAAGCTGATAAAGACGCGATAAAGGCATTAGTTGATGTGAACCGGCGAATAACAACACATGAGATCGGATTGAGGTTAAATTTATCAAATTCAACAGTTTATGACCACTTGAAAGGCCTGGGATTATCCTCGAAGCTCAATGTATGGGTTCCCCATGTTCTCACAGAGAGAAATCTGTGTCGCCGCATTGACGTCTGCGATTTGCTTCTCAAACGTCACGAAAATGATCCGTTTTTGAAGCGCATCATCACTGGGGACGAAAAATGGGTTGTATACAACAACGTCAAACGCAAGAGGT